ATTCGCAAAACCCAAGAACTGCTGCACCTCTTTAACCGTGGTTGGGGTTTGCCAATTACGCACGGCTGACACACGGTCAACCTCCATCCTCACCCCTGACGCAGACAACTGATAACCCAAAAAGGAGACCGACTCCTGGAAGAACAGACATTTCTCGGCTTTGACATACAGGTCATGCTCCAACAACCTCCTCAATACTCTGCGCACCAGGGCTACATGTTCGGCCCGGGTAGAACTGTACACCAGAATATCGTCTATGTACACCACTACTCCCTGCCCGTGCATGTCCCGGAAAATCTCATCTACAAAGGATTGGAAGACTGATGGAGCATTCATTAACCCGTATGGCATGACGAGATACTCGTAATGACCGGAGGTAGTACTAAATGCTGTCTTCCATTCATCGCCCTCTCTAATGCGCACCAAGTTATATGCGCTCCTGAGGTCCAATTTTGTGAAGAACCGTGCCCCGTGTAATGACTCCATCATAGTCGCAATCAGCGGAAGTGGATAACTATATTTCACAGTAACCTGATTTAGACCGCGGTAATCAATACACGGGCGCAAACCTCCATCCTTTTTCTTCACAAAAAAGAAGCTCGAGGACGCGGGTGAAGTGGAGGGCCGTATGTATCCCTGTCTCAGAGACTCGGCAATGTATGTCTCCATTGCCCTCTTCTCCTCCTGTGACAACGGATACACATGGTTCCGCGGGAGCGCAGCTCCTGCCTGGAGGTCTATCGCACAATCCCCCTGTCTATGAGGTGGCAACCTTGCCGCTCTTGTCTTGCTAAACACGAGTACCAAATCCTCATACTCGGGGGGAATGTGCAATGCGGGCATCTGGTTCGGACTCTCCACCGAGGTCGCCCCTACGGAAACACCCAGACATAGCCCCTCACACTGAGCAGACCACCCTTTAAGAGCCCTCTCTCGCCACGAAATAGTAGGATCATGGGTACTCAACCAGGGAAGCCCCAGTACCACCGGATACGCAGGAGAGTCGATCAGATAGAGCTGAATCGTCTCCTCATGACCCCCCTGCGTCTCCATCCTAAGTGGCGCTGTGACCTCCCTAATCAACCCGGATCCTAACGGACGACTATCTAGGGCATGTACAGGGAAAGGATTATTTACCGGAAGGAGGGGAATCCCTAACTCTACACAGAATTTGCGATCTACAAAATTCCCAGCTGCGCCTGAATCTACTAGCGCCTTATGCTGGGAACGAGGTGCAACCTGTGGAAAACAAACAGGTATGGTTATGTGTACGGCAGAAAGCTCTGGGTAAGTGGGGCGCCTACTCACCTGGGAGGACTCCCCAATGTGTGGCATGCCTTCTCCTCCACCAGGGGACCCTCCCCAGCACCTAGCCGCGGTGTGCCCTCCACGGCCACAGTTGGTGCAGGGGACGGCCCCCCTCGGGCTCCTTCTTCTCCTTCCTCTAGCGTCAGCACCTCCGAGCTCCATCGGGCTCGGCTCGGAGGTGCTGGAGGGTGGAATGGGCGACCCCCACCTGGGACGTCCGCGGGTAGCGAGCAGGGTGTCCAGCCGAATGGCCATGTCAACCAACTGGTCAAATGAAAGCGTGGTATCCCTGCACGCCAACTCTCTGCGGACGTCCTCCTGGAGGCTGCAGCGGAAGTGGTCTATTAGTGCCCGCTCATTCCACCCTGCATCGGCCGCTAGAGTCCGGAACTCCAGTGCAAACTCCTGAGCGCTCCTCATCCCCTGTCGGAGGTAGAATAGACGCTCCCCCGCCGCCTTCCCCTCTGGTGGATGGTCGAACACTGCACGGAAGCGGCGGGAGAACTCCGCATAGGTGATAGTAGCGGCGTCTATTCTCCTCCATTCGGCGTTGGCCCACTCCAACGCCTTGCCGGTGAGACAGGAGATGAGGGCGGAAACGCTCTCGTGTCCCGAGGGCGCCGGGTGTACGGTGGCGAGGTAGAGTTCAACTTGTAACAGGAACCCCTGACACCCGGCAGCGGTGCCGTCGTACGCCCTCGGGAGCGAGAGCCGAATCCCACTGGGTTCCGGAAGTTGGACGGGCGGGCTGACCGATGGTGATGGTGCGGTAGGTGGGGGTGTGGGTACCCCGCTGGTCTCCCATCGATGGAGGGTGTTCATCACTCGGTCCAGGGCGTGCCCGATTTGGTTGATTCTGTCCTCCTGACCACGAAGGCGCTCCTCCTTGATCTCAGTGGGTGCGGGTGCTCCTGCTGATTCCATAGAGATGGTGTGTAATTCTGTCAGGGTTGAGTGTAGAGGGAACGTGGAATCACACGCAGGACACAGAGATTCAAAAAACAGATGTCTTTAGTGAAGTCCGACAGTACAAGCCAACACGGCAACAGGCCACAGGCGAAACAAGCGTACACTGGACTGTCCAAAGTAAATGTGCACAACGTGCAGGACTCTCTCAAACAAATACGAAAATACAGAGAGCACAGAACAGCGGACCAACATCTACACGTGACATCGAACAATTACACACAACCCCTGACCAAACACAAGAGAACTAAATAGGGTGCCTAATGAACACTTAACAATGAACAGGTGTAACAAACAGACAAAACCAATCAAACATGAAACATCGAACGGTGGCAGCTAGTACTCCGGAGAAGACGACCGCCGAAGCCTGCCCGAACAAGGAGAAGGAGCCGCCTCGGCCGAAACCGTGACAAGTACACACCATTGTGGTCCATCATTGGAAACCTAAATATTTGAAGGGTCATACTGTTAAATGGTATTGCTCCATTTATAGTAGTGTTTTACTACGCAGCCTACAATAAAACATAAGAAGTCCTGTAACAACAACAAAAAACGTGTCAACCCGCTTGCTCTTACTGATCTGTATTATCTTTCCCTTTTGAAGGGGTTCTTCAAGATCCTGCGGGGAAAGGACAAGTGTGGCATCAAATCAGAGATAGTGGCTGGGATCCCTCGACTTAACAGCAGTCCAGGCTTATCCCCAGGACTGGGGTCCACTTAAAATAAAATGGACTTCAGTTTATGAAGTCAAAATAATACAACATTCAGTATTTTTTACTCTTGTAAAAAATGGGGGGGGGGGGGGGGTATAAGGATTACTTTATCTTATCCCAGGTATTCCTTAAAGAGGTGGGGTTTCAAGTGTCTACGGAAGGTGGTGATACTCCAATGGAGAGTTGTTTAAAATAACCTAAGAGGCATTAGGCGGTTTTGACTAAAACTGAGTTAATGTCATTTGAAACTGTTAGAAATTGCGTAATTCAAATCTGGTATTGGAATAAGAATCAAGAGATCTTCAATCCAAGCTTAATTTATTATATGCAAAATGTATGTATGATAAGTATGAAGGTTCGTATATACGGGTCCACTGAAATACCACGCAGGGCACTCAGAGAACTAAACTGTTGTTTACAGGTTCTTTCTCAAATACTCTGACAGAGATAGTTCCCGCTCCCTGCTGGCCAATCAGAGTAAAGGACTGAGTGTGGTTTAGACTTTACTCAGCCAATCCGTTGGTGCACGGGTTAGTCCCACCCCTTGGCGCTTCACCCCTTGGCGCTCCACCGTTCCCAGGCATAAGTTGCTATCATAATAACCTGTGGAGTCAGCACCCAAAAGACACCCCTCCAATCTGTACTCCATGTACCCACGTTCAAGGACGGTTTCACAGACAACAAAGAGAGAGTGTTCGTATCTGTAAGAAATACAAGTCTTATCTGTCCTACCCCTAACGTTCCTTACATGAATCACAGCCTGTTATGTGAAACAATTTATATCAGTATAGTACAAACCTATGCTCCTCATTAATGCATTCCTTCTAAGTTATTCATCACATACAGATCCAATTATGAGAAAAATAGAACCCAACAAAACGGAGTAAAAACAAAAATGGTGTATCTTGAAAAATAACCAACCTATGAACCCCATTAAAATCTATGAGAAAGCTCACAGCACCATTTCCAATCATCTTTAAAGAACTACATGGATATTTCAACATCTTCTAATGACCAGTGTTGGGGAAGAGAAGTAAAGTAAAGCGTTACTTTTTTCAGAAAATATTTCACCACCGTTGCCATGATCCGATCTGGACTTGTTTCCTCATTTAGTTCTCCAGCGAGCGGAGAAAGCTATTTGGAGAATTGCCATGACAACTGTCCATACAAATTGATAGAGGGCACAACTCTGATCTTTGCTGTTGATCGCTTCCGTGATAGCAAAGTCAGTAGAGGGCTTCAGGGTCTAGTGGCAAGTGTGCGCTCTATGCAATGGTCGCACTGGCGGCAGATTTTGCACAGCCGAGCCTGCTGTGCAACAACATCCATTTCATAGGATGACATAAGTAGGCAATAGGGATTTTCGATTTTTCTACCTTTTTTTCTATTAGTTTAACTTTCCCAATGCGAGGGAATTTATCTGACAGCAGACCCTCGGAAAATAAATTCCCCGTTCCAAATTATCCATCTTCATGAAATGATTAATCAAATAGCCTTGTCTCCTCCTAGTTTTATATGTATGCCTATTGCCTATTCATATACATTATAAATTATCATTGTGCACTGTTCAGAGACAGGCTTTCAATTTTATGATCAGTGCGCTGGAAATTGGCTGCAGTTTGTGGATTATCAATCGGTACAACTTGTTTATATCAAGCCAAAGAAGGACACATGGAATTATTGATTCGATGGTTGAATTTACAGAAAGGTAGGGCGATATTTTCTTGTCTAGTAAATGAATGAAAACAACAGTGTTTATCCTACATCTCACCCGTGGAGGCTGCTGAGGGGAGGACTCATCATAATAATGGCTGGAATGGAGCGAATTAAATGGCATCAAACGCATGGAAACCATGTGTTTGATGTATATGATACCATTCCACTTATTGCGCTCCAGCCATTACCACGAGCCCGTCACCCCCAATTAAGGTGCCACCACCCTCCTGTGCATCTCACAATGCATAAAAGGTAATCTTGAATGAGAGGCTACCTACACTGGTATAATCTTCACCGCAAATGTACTGCAAAATTCAGACATAAATACATCAGCCTACACCATTTAGGAAATAGTTGTGTCCAAGATGTTCCTGATCGGGTTGAAGGTAATTATTTTTATGAATTAGATGAGCCGATCTTTGGTAGAGCATGCGTGGCTCACCTCGCTCCCTCAGAGGCTCAGAAAGTTAAACAAACTGTGAGGTTTAGAGATTTTTTTTCATGAAAGTATTGCAAAGTAATATACGAGTAATATAACGTGTTACGGTCATGCAAAGTAATATTGTAAAGTAACATGTTATTTTGTTGAATGTAACAAGTAATATGTAATATTACTTTTTTAAGTACCTAATCCCAACACTGTTAATGACACATGCATTACAGCAGGATACCTTTCCACACAGTTACTTATCAAACACTAAACAGTCACTGGACTGGCATCTGCAGGGGTTGGAGGGCAGTAATCCTCATAAGTGTCGTCAACAGCTTGGAGAATGTGATGAACTGCACTCAGCAGCAGGATGTCAGTGTTGCAGCTCACAGACAGCTCACTGGAGTAGTTCTTCACTGGAAGCACATAGGACACTGGCAAACCCACCACCTCTGCTGCCTTCTGCATCTGTGGCACAGCAGAACATAAGATAGAAGATAGATTGCAGATATAATGGTTTTACAACACATTAAACTACACCTAATCTTCAACTTTTGAAGTAGGCCTACCTTCTCCTGTAGCATGCGGCTGGAGTAGACAAACTTCACATCCTCTTGGACGGCATGACACACCTGGTCCACATGGGTCAACAGAACCACCTGGGGGATGTCTGGAGAGGACAGGGTCATACAGATGTAGGATCTTAATTTGATCACTTGCTGCTGAGAATGTTCCTGCACAGCAGGAAATGCAAACTTGTAGTGTATTTTAGTTTTAAAAAGGATTCTAAAGTTTGTAATTTCCACTTTGAAATTTCAGACTTGATTTGCCCAAACGAAATGTATCAACCCCTACAAAAATGTGCATTAATTATAATCCACATAATAATTTACATTTCCTGCTGTAGCAAACTTGCTCAAATTAAGATCCTACATCTGTATACAGTAGTCATTGTGTGTGTGTGTGTGTGTGTTTGTGTCTGAAAACTCACCTAGATCTGAGATTTCAGCTTGAAGTGTCCTCAATATCATTGTAAGGTCCTCACTGGTGGTCATGACTTGGCAGGCATTCAGAACGAACACCGCACAATGAATTTGGTCATTTACCGATGGATTCGGTCTGTAACCTGAAGTCTCAGCTTTGATGGGCGCATCACTTTGAAACTATGGTGTTGGACAATGTCATTGTGTTGCCATAAAAAGCAAACAGAACAAATTAATTAATATTGTTGCGATCCATTAATGAGCCACATTATAATTAACTCCAAGTGGGTTAACCCTATTGACGCAATGCATAGGATGTTTGCCTTTCACACCAGCGACCTGGGTTCTCGGCCCTGTCCCTCTGTTAGCTACAATGTGTGTATGTTGGTTACAAAGTGAATCATATGCATAACATGTTAATAATATAACATGTTCAGTAAAATTTTACATGGAGGTTCCTTTGATCTTTATCCCAAGCAAGGCTAGGAATTATCATGAAGACATTGCTACTCACAGAAAGAAAACAAATGCCGCCTACCTTGTGTCCCTCTGGGGCGTGTCCCTTGATGACAGTCAGTGCGTCTGTGAGGGTCAGGCCAGTCGTCTCATCTTCCCCCAGAGCCAACACATCACACAGGGTTAGAGCTGTGGACTTCCCCCCTCTCTCTGACCGGATGTCATACGACTTCAGCTGGGTAGATAAAGAGAGGAGACAGTGTTTTGTAAGCAAGTTTTGTTAGAGACAAACTCAGACAACGACCACCAAAAAGACAGACATACAGTATATCCATAGATGAAAGGGGAGTATCTTTGGTATATATCCCTTCCCTCGCACCCACCCACAGGGCAGGTCCTCACATTCAGGGACACATTGATATGGCGGTCCAGATGTTACTCCTTAGCTTTCTATCTCAGTCAAGGCATTATCAATCGTATATGCTAAAAACTCTTTGTTACAGACACTATACCTTCTTGATGAAGCCCTTTGTTGCAGTTCCAATAAAAGGCAGGAGAAGGACTCTTCCGAACATCACAGATCTGACAGAGTTGATGAAGCTGGATTTTCCTGACCCAGGAGGACCCATCAGCAGAACCCTGACTCGGTTCAGAGACTGGCAGGCCGGTTTGAAGGAGACCAGATTCTTCCTCAGTGACCCCCTCTCTCTGGTAAAATGAGATAGCACAGAAAGAGCCATAATATTACATCAGGCAGCCCGCAGACTGCTTTTAGGCCACCAATATTAAGCCACAGACTAGCCTCTACTGCTGTAGAACAGATTACTTTGTTATTGATAGATTCAGGAAATTCATTTCCAATGTGACCTACTTCTCAGTCCATGACAGCTCCCTCCAAGGGTTCAGCAGCACATCTCCAACACCTTGAACATAATAAGAACAAAAAATTACACTAGGCCTAGACTACATTTTCAGAGAGTACATTTAATTCATCACATTGTTTTGGGGCAGAATTACTTTGAATGCGATGCAACTCCACATCCATGAAGGGCACCTCCAACTCTTCACTCCAACCAGTGGGTGTGTAGGTATCATCTTCCTTCACATCAACACAAAGTGTTTTGTCCTTATTGTTGTAAATTTTTAGGCAATCCCCAAAGCCCAAGATTTCATTATTATACTTATTATTAAAAATGATCGAATCGCGGTGCTTCACGACAGGAAAGACGTTTGCTTTTTGATGGTCTATTTCGAAGACAAATGCCCCTCTGTACTCTTGGAGATAGAAATCAGATTGTTTACTCAGATAGCCCCCCTTCATTGTGCCTGATTCCAAATAAACAATTACAACGAATCTTCCCACTTGATCGAATTTAGAAATCAAATCAGACATCTTAAATCCATGGTGGCGCGCCCTGTAGATCAGGTGAAGTCGGACAGGTTCGGGAAAAAACTTTAACAACTGTTTCTCTCTCCCCAAATCCAGTGCAGATACAGCTGCATGGGCCATGAAGAAATCAAGCGGAGATCACTACCCTGCTACGAAATGCAAACCCAATATGTGCGCCTATTTCCAAAAGTAGCCTAATGTCCGCACCGGAATCAATAATGGTCTGACTGTGGAATGGCCATATCCACATATGCCTAATTAACAGCCTATCGAAAGTGAAATGTTCCAGAAAAACGAAACTTATTGTAGACCAGCCCACACTCACTGTGCTCAAAAAAGCTGCGTATAAAGGACCGGACATGATGGCATTGAGAAATGCGCAAACAGCTATTCTATTTTCCTGGTAGCCTAAGTGGGTAGGTAGGCTAATCTTTTATGATTGGTGACAGGTTTCACTTTAGGCCTACTATTGATTTGGTGCGGGTTCGTACGCTATCCACTAACACCGCTCAGAAATAGCAGTAGTAGATTTCGTGAAGTCTACTGATATCACATTGTTTTTATGGCTTCAGTAATGTCTGCATTGGGCTTGGAGCAAGAGACGCATTTGTTGAAGCTCCTTCCCTGAACCTGCCCAACTTCACCTGCTCTACAAGGGAAGCCACCATGGGTTTTACATGCATACGCTGAGATCTAAATTTGACAAAGAAGGAAGATTCGTTGTAATAGTGTATTTCAAATCTGGGGATGTAAAGGGGGGTTACCTGCATATATCGTCTGAGGGTGAGGACCAAGACGCGTTTGCCTTCGAAATAAACCATCAACAAGGAACACACTTCCCTGTTCTGGATGACTCTAAGGCGACACATTTTTCAACCTCTTGGTCTAATGGTTGCTTGAAGTTTGGGAAATGTCTGAAGTTGTACACCGAGAATAGAGAAATGTGCGTGAAATCGTTTGATATGATATATCACCAGAGTGTGACGGGGCCGCAGTACCTGGATGTTGAGCTGTATCGAGTTGGAAGTAAATATAACTACTCGCCGCCCAAAACGTTTTTCATTTCTGTCTTTATTGTACTGTTAATTGTTCTGATTATGCTCTTATTCATTTTATATTCAAGGTGCTTGGAGGGAGCTGTCATGGACTGAGGAGTAGGTCACATTGTGAATTAATTTACGGAATCCATCAGGAGTATCACACATTAACTTTCAGGACTCTTCTGCTATGACTGTACTTGGTGGTCTAGAAACACTATTTGAAGGTTGTCTGATGCAGACCTGGGTTCAAATACTATTTAAGGTTTTTCAATTACTTTCACATAGGCTACATTTCAAAGGAAATTTTAGGACATATTTTCTTCGGAAATACAAGCTTGGAAATGTATTTGTAAATACACTTGGAAAGTATTGTCATGTATTTGAAAATTCTCAAATGTTGACAAGTGTAATTTCAAAGACACATTTGTATTTGAACCCAGGTCTGTTTGGTGGTAGGGGTATTTGAAAAGTATTTGGAAACAAGTAGCCTATTTGAAAATAATTTCATATAGTAATTATAGGAAATTATTTGAAAATACTTTCAAATACTACAAATACAATTAGTTGATTGGGCCAAATTATTTGCAAATACATAGAAATAAGTCATTAAAATACAAATACTAAAATAGGCATGTCTTTGAACTAGGACTGTCAAACATTTTTTTTTTAAATCGAGATAATCACATGATTTGCTGTGATTTAATCGTGCTTAATGGTAAATACCGTACACTACCGATCAAAAGTTTTAGAACACCTACTCATTCAAGGGTTTCTTTATTTTTTACTATTTTCTACATTGTAGAATAATAGTGAAGACAACAAAACTATGAAATAACACATATGGAATCATGTAGTAACCAGAAAAGTGTTAAACAAATCAAAATTTATTTTATATTTTATATTCTTCAAATAGCCACCCTTTGCCTTGATGACAGCTTTGCACACTCTTGGCGTTCTCTCAATCAGCTTCATGAGGTAGTCACCTGGAATGTGTTTCAATTAACAGGTGTGCCTTCGTAAAAGTTAATTTGTGGAATTTCTTTCCTTAATGCGTTTGAGCCAATCAGTTGTGTTGTGACAAGGTAGGGGGGGGGGGGGGGGGTATACAGAAGATATCCCTATTTGGTAAAAGACCAAGTCCATATTATGGTAAGAACAGCTCAAATAAGCAAGAACTTAAGAGTTCAAGTAACGGAGACATCTCAACATCAACTGTTCAGAGGAGACTGTGTGAATCAGGCCTTCATGGTCGAATTGCTGCAAAGAAACCACTACTAAAGGACACTGATAAAAAGAAGAGTCTTGCTTGGGCCAATAAACATGAGCAATGGACATTAGACCGGTGGAAATTTGTCCTTTGGTCTGGAATCCAAATTTGAAAATGTTGGTTACAACCGCTGTGTCTTTGTGAGACGTGGTGTGGGTGAACGGATGATCTCCGCATGTGTATTTCCCACTGTAAAGCATGGAGGAGGAGGTGTTATGGTGTGGGGGTGCTTTGCTGGTGACACTGTGATTTATTTAGAATTCAAGGCACACTTAACCAGAATGGCTACTAGAGCATTCTGCAGCGATACACCATCCCATCTGGTTTGGGCTTAGTGGGACTATCATTTGTTTTTCAACAGGACAATGACCCAACACACCTCCAGGCTGTGTAAGGGCTATTTTACCAAGAAGGAGAGTGATGTAGTGCTGCATCAGATGACCTGGCCTCCATAATCCCCCGACCTCAACCAAATTGAGATGGTTTGGATGAGTCGGGCCGCAGAGTTAGTAGGTGTTCTAAAACATTTGTAGTGTATTTGCTCATATTGAACTATTATTTACGATTTTTCATGCAAAAAAACATTACAAGTATATTGACGTCTTGATAGGTCAATTGAGAAAGCACACTTTTTCCTTAACCTCAATGTCAACTTGTTTTTACATGGCATTGTTGATTTGAGCTGTATAGATTATCTATTTAGGATGTTTAGAGTATTTCCATTGCTTGCAGACAATGCGATTAATCACAATAAAAAAAAGAAGTGCACCAAATTACAAAATGTTAACTTGAGTTATCTGATTAACTCTGACAGCACTTAATTGAACCCAGGTCTGGTCTGATGTAATATTATGTATATTTCTGTGCTTTTCCATTTCACCAGAGGGAGGGGGTCACTGAGGAAGAATCTGGTCTCCTTCAAACCGGCCTGCCAGTCTCTGAACCGGGTCAGGGTTCTGCTGATGGGTCCTCCTGGGTCAGGAAAATCCAGCTTCATTAACTCTGTCAGATCTGTGATGTTCGGCAGAGTCCTTCTCCTGCCTTTTATTGGCACTGCAACAAAGGGCTTCATCAAGAAGGTATAGAGTAAAGAATCTGTAAGAAGGAGTATTTAGCATGATACATACAGTGCCTAGTGAAGGTCTACACACCCCTTGCACAGTCTTCACATTTTACTGCCTTAAAATGTAATCTAAAAAGGGATCAAATTATTTTTTTCCTGTCGATCTACACAACCTAGTCCACATTTTTATACTGAACAAAAATATAAACGCAACATGGAAAGTGTTGAACCCACGTTTCATTAGAAACTTTTGTTAAAATTATTTTTAAAGGAACTCAGTCCGGCTTTAAACTTAGTCTTGAAAGTTGTAATAGTAGAATGCATAAAGTGCAATTTCGAAATTGGGTAGTGCATCATCAGTTCCTCTGGCCATGTTAGTCATCGCATACCTTAGAGGGCTATTTATAACTTGTCAGAAATATCCAGATCAACTAGCCCATGTCAGCTAATGTTTTTTTATTTAGGTTTTTTAGACCATAGATATTGTTGTAATTTTTTAGTCACTCAAATATCACATAAATACACATTAGACATGGCAAAATATATAGAACTGCAAGAAAATTAGCTTTAAAACTGCTAAATCTTCTTTGCACCCCATGACAAAATGTGTAGAATTGCAGGAAATAAGCTTAAATCCTGCAGAATTCTCTCCACCAACAAGAGGGGTGTGAACATGTTGTGTCATGAACAGTGCTTGTGCCCATAGAAATAGACGTGGCGCGTGTGCGGGATGTTCCTCAATGCTGGAAAGGGGGCCCAGAGTGAAAAAGTTTGGTAACCCCTGCATTAGATGAAATAAAAGATCCCAGAAATGTTCCAGATGCACAAAAAGCATATTTCTCTCAAATGTTGTGCACAAGTTTGTTTACATCCCTGTTAGTGAGCATTTCTCCATTGCCAAGATAATCCATCCACCTGAAAGATGTGGCATATCAAGAAGCTGATTAAACGGCATGATCATTACACAGGTGCAACTTGTGCTTGGGACAATAAAAGGCCACTCTAAAATGTGCAGTTTTGTCACACAACACAATGCCACAGATGTCTCAAATTTTGAGAGAGTGTGCAATTGGAATGCTGACTGCATGAATGTCCACCAGAGCTGTTGGCAGATAATTGAATATTAATTTATCTACCATAAGCCGCCTCAATCATCGTTTTAGAGAATTTGGTAGTATGTCCAACCGGCCTCACAACCGCAGACCACGTGTAACCACGCCAGCCCAGGACCTCCACATCCGGCTTGTTCACCTGCGGGATCGTCTGAGACCAGCCACCCGGACAGCTGATGAAGCTGAGGAGTATTTATGTCTGTAATAAAGCCCTTTTGTGGGGAAAAAAACTTTGCCCTCCCAGGCCCACCCATGGCTGCGCCACTGCTCATTCATGTGAAATCCATAGATTAGGGCCTAATTTCATTTATTTCAATTGACTGATTTCCTTATATCAGTGCTTCTCAATAATTTTCTGTTACGCTCCCCCTAGGAAGAAGTAAACATTTCGCGCCCCCCAACTCTCCGCCGCGACTGTAAATAGTATCATTTGTCTATAAAATTGTTATAAGTACACCTCTGCATAACATTGTATCCTTATTAACATTAAAGAAAACCAAAAAAGAAAAAAGAAAGAAATATAGATCAACTTACAACAAAGAATAACTTTATTAGCATTGTTTTTAGTCTGTAACAGAAAATACTTAAAGTGCATCAATTTGCCTGAAATGTCTTATTTAAACTGTAAATTTTTTTTGACCATTTGATACTGATAAATAAAATTAAATATAATCAATAAATAATAATAAATTCAAATTGATCAGCAACATTAACTCAGGAGCACAATATATGAAACACTTTGACCTATAAAACAAAAATGAAAAAAACTATTTGTGCTGATTTAAAAACAAATCTAAATGAGGAAGTCAGGATTAATGGCTACAATGAGCACGTTTTGGCGGAGTTTGAAGCATGATACTGCAACTCTCAGCTCTTGCTCAATGTTTAGCTGGGACCTGTACTTGGTCTTCAGTGCAGCAACAGCAGAGAAGCCAGCCTCACAAAGATAAGATGTTGCAAAAGGAAGAAGAATGCCCATGGCCCTCTGCCCTAAGAGTGGATACTGCCTCTCTACACTCAGACAGAATTCACTCAGTGTCTGTGATGTGAACCTCAGACTCAATGTGGAGTCAGACGTCATATCAATTAACTGGTCCTCCTCTGCAGAGCTGAAACCAGTTGGAGCTGGTGCATTGAAAGGATCTCTCACCCAGTCATATTGGGAACTGTTTTCAGGGGGAGTATTTTTTTAAATCCCCCCCAATTTCAATTTCTGAAAATGAATTTTTTAATGAGGTTTTTTATTTTCCCGAAATGTAAAAATTTATTTCCAAAAAGAATCAGTACCGTTTCAAAGTTTCTCCCAAAATTTTTTCCCAAGAAAATTTTGTCCCCGCCCAAAATTTTATCTTTCCTTGACTAAAGGGAAATTTGTTAAACCTTTTTCCCCAAAAGCCCCCTAGTTGGCCCCCTTTTCCCCCGGAAGCTCTTTTTAAATTTCTGGCAAAAAGTCCCCACTTCTCCTCTTAAAAAAAATCTTACCGGCTTTTCTCTGATAAAAAATGGCACAATACCCCTTTCCCCCTCCTTTTACCCCGCCAGGGGTTTCCCCCCCTGAAAAAACCAAGCTTATTTGCCCCCTTCCCTCAGGGGAAACCCCGAGAAGCTCTTTTGGTGGTCTGGCTTTTAAAAAAAATGACCCCACACCTTTTTTTTCAAAATCATAACCCTAAAAAAATCGGGGGGAGTTTTCCTTGAAGGAAAAATTTTCTTTGGTTTACCCAGGTTCAAAAAGTAAAACAAATTATTTTAAGGGGAATTCTTGGGGAGGGAATTTTTTTATTTTTGCAGGCTTTCACATCCGCAAAAACAAGCATCTCACTTAGCCCTTCTAGGGGTTTTTTTTAGAAAAGGAGCCCCCTTTATATCCAGTGTCTTGGGTTTTGAATAATTTTCAAAAAAAATGGGGAAGGGGGGAAAATTTTTCCGGAAAAAACCCGCCATAGCGGATTTTTAAAACAAACGCCCTTTTTTTTGGGTTCATGTTCCCGAACTTTTTAAAAAAGGAAAAAACCCTTTTTTTTTCTCCCCCCCTGTCAAAAGTAGGGAATGTCTTTATTTCTGGCTTCGGGGAATTTGTTTTTTATTTTCCACCTTTTTTCATCCCCGAAAACCATTTTTTTAATTTTTTCTGCCTTTTTACTCCTTCTTGGGTGTTTTTTTTTGCAAAAAATATCCCCTAAAAAAAAAAAACAGTTCCCCGGGTTACCCGAATGGCATTTACAAAGGGGGGTGGCATTTTGGCCTCCTTTAAAAAAATTAACCCTAAAAAATGGGGTTTAATTTTTAATGGCCAAATTTATTTTTGTTCATATTTTCCAAAAACAAAAAAATACGGGGTTTTTTCTTTGTTCCACCCCCAGTAAAAGGTGGGAAACAGGGGGCCCTTTTCATCGCTTCTCATAATTGCTCTTTTTGGGGGTTTTTCGGGGATATTTTTCCAAAAAATTTTCTCCCCGTTCTCCCCCTTTCTTTCCAACCCCGGGAAAAATTTTATTTCGGAAAAATTGGTTTTCTGTTGCAAAAAATTTTCTCCCCTTTGGGTTTTTCTTTTTGGGTTTTTATTACCCTGGAAAAAAAGGATTTTTTTGGGGGTTGGCATCCCCTGGCAAAAGGGAAAAAAATTTTTTAAAAAAGGCTATAGGTTTTTTCACCCCCCAAAACCCCCCCAAATAAAGATCTGGTGAAACCAATTACCTTCAGAAGTCACATAATTAGTTAAATTGCACACAGGTGGACTTTATTTAAGTGTCACATGATCTGTCACATGATCTCAGTATATATACACCTGTTCTGAAAGGCCCCATAGTCTGCAACACCACTAAGCAAGGGGCACCACCAAGCAAGCGGCACCATGAAGACCAAGGAGCTCTCCAAACAGGTCAGGGACAAAGTTGTGGAGAAGTACAGATCAGGGTTGGGTTATAAAAAAATATCAGAAACTTTGAGCATCCCACAGAGCACCATTAAATCCATTATTAAAAAATTGAAAGAATATGGCACCACAACAAACCTGCCAAGAGAGGGCCGCCCACCAAAACTCACGGACCAGGCAAGGAGGGCATTAATCAGAGAGGCAACAAAGAGACCAAAGATAACCCTGAAGAAGCTGCAAAGCTCCACAGCGGAGATTGGAGTATCTGTCCATAGGACCACTTTAAGCCGTACACTCCACAGAGCTGAGCTTTACGGAAGAGTGGCCAGAAAAAAGCCATTGCTTAAAGAAAAAAATAAGCAAACACGTTTGGTGTTTGCCAAAAGGCATGTGGGAGACTCCCCAAACATATGGAAGAATGTACTCTGGTCAGATGAGACAAAAATTGAGCTTTTAGGCCTTGTGCTATGCTATGTCTGGCGCAAACCCAACACCTCTCATCACCCCGAAAACACCATCCCCACAGTGAAGCATGGTGGTGGCATCATCAGGCTGTGGGGATGTTTTTCATCGGCAGGGACTGGGAAATTGGTCAGAATTGAAGGAATGATGGATGGTGCTAAATACAGGGAAATTCTTGAGGGAAACCTGTTTCAGTCTTCCAGAGATTTGAGACTGGGACAGAGGTTCACCTTCCAGCAGGACAATTACCTAAGCATACTGCTAAAGCAACACTTGAGTGGTTTAAGGGGAAACATTGAGAATCTGTGGTATGACTTAAAGATTGCTGTACACCAGCGGAACCCATCCAACTTGAAGGAGCTGGAGCAGTTTTGCCTTGAAGAATGGGCAAAATTCCCAGTGGCTAGATGTGCCAAGCTTATAGAGACATACCCCAAGAGACTTGCAGCTGTAATTGCTGCAAAAGGTGGCTCTACAAAGTATTGACTTTTTGTCTTATTTCTTGTTTGTTTCACAAAAAATAATATGTTGCATCTTCAAAGTGATAGGCATGTTGTGTAAATCAAATGATACAAACCCCCCAAAAATCCATTTTAATTCCAGGTTGTAAGGCAACAAAATAGGAAAAATGCCAAGGGGGGTGAATACTTTCGCAAGCCACTGTATATCAAAGACAAACCAGAATGGCTTTCCAAGAGGTGTTGAGTGTTCCTGATTGGTCTAGTCTCAGTCCTGACTTAAATTTGCTTGAAAATCAGAGACAAGGTTTGCATATTGCTGTCCATCAATGATTCCCAACCAAATTCACTGAGCTTGAGCAATTTTGACAAAAACAATGGACATACAGTGCCTTCAGAAAGGATTCATACCCCTTGACTATATATTTTTCTCACCCATCTACATACAATACTCAATAATGACAAAGTGAAAACATGTTTTTAGACTTTTTTGCAAATGTATTGAAAATGAAATACAGAAATCGAATTTACATAAGTATTCAGATCCATTAATCAGTACTTTGTTGAAGAATCTTTGGCAGCGATTACAGCCTCGAGTCTTCTTGGGTATGACACTACTAGCTTGGCACACCTATATTTGGGCAGTTTTTCCCATTGTTCTCTGCAGATCCGCTCAAACTCTGTCAGGTTGGATGGGGAGCATCGCTGCCCAGCTATTTTCAGGTCTCTCCAGAGATGTTAGATCGGGTTCAAGTCCGGGCTCTGGCTGGGCCTCAAGGACATTGAGACTTGTCCTGAAGCTACTCCTGCGTTGTCTTGGCTGTGTGCTTAGGGTCGTTGTCCTGTTGGAAGGTGAACCTTCGCCCCAGTCAGGTCCTGAGTGCTCTGGAGCAGGTTTTCATCAAGCATCTCTCTGTACTTTGCTCCGTTCATCTTTCCCTCGATCCTGACTAGTCTCCCAGTCCCTGCCGCTGAAAAACATCCCCACAGCATGAAGCTGCCACCACCATGCTTCACCGTAGGGATGGTGCCTGGTTTCTTCCAGACGTGAAGCTTGGCATTCAGGCCATAGAGTTCAATCTTGGTTTCATCAGACCAGAGAATCTTGTTTCTCATGGTCTGAGAGTCCTTTAGGTGCCTTTTGGCAAACTCCAAGCGGCCTGTCATGTGCCTTTTACTGAGGAGTGGCTTCCGTCTGGCCACTCTACCATAAAGGCCTGATTGGTGGAGTGCTGCAGAGATGGTTGTCCTTCTGGAAGGTTCGCCCATCTCCACAGAGGAACTCTGGATCTCTGTCAGAGGGACCATCGGGTTCTTGGTTACCTCCATGACCAAGGCCCTTCTCCCTCGTTTGGCCGGGCGGCCAGCTATAGGAAGAATCTTAGTGGTTCTAAACTTCTTCTATTTAAGAATGATGGAGGTTACTGTGTTTTTGGGGACCTTCAATGCTGCAGACATTTTTTGGTACCTTTCCCCAGATCTGTGCCCTGACACAATCCTGTCTCTGCGCTCTACGGTCAATTCCTTCGACCTCATGGCTTGGTTTTTGCTCTGACATGCACTGTCAACTGTGGGACCTTATTTAGACAGGTGTGTGCCTTTCCAAATCATGTCCAATCAATTGAACTTACCACAGGTGGACTCCAATCAAGTTGTAGAAACATCTCAAGGATGATCAATGGAAACAGGATTCACCTGAGCTCAATTTCAAGTCTCATAGCAAAGGGTCTGAATACTTATGTAAATATTATTTTTTTATATATACATTTGCAAAAATTTCTAAACACGTGTTTTTGCTTTGTCATTATGAGGTATTGTGTGTAGATTTATGAAGATTAAAAAAAAAAACAATTTTAGAATAAGGCTGTTACGTAACAAAATGTGGAGAAAGTCAACAGGTCTGAATACTTTCCGAATGCGCTGTAAGTATTCCACATCCCTGAGTCAATACATGTTAGAATCCCCTTTGACAGCGATTACAGCTGTGAGTCTTCCTGGGTAAGTCTCTAAGAGCTTTGCACACCTGGATTGTACAATATTTGCACGTTATTCTTAAAAAAATTATTCAAGCTTTGTCAAGTTGGTTGTTGATCATTGCTAGACATTCATTTTCAAGTCTTGCCATAGATTTTCAAGCCGATTTAAGTCAAAACTGTAACTAGGCCACTCAGGAACAGTCAATGGCCTTGTGTTTAGGTGAATTTGTCTGCCAGTGTCTGTTGGAAAGCAGGCTAAACTAGGTTTTCCTCTAGGATTTTGCCTGTGCTTAGCTCTATTCTGTTTCTTTTTATCCAAAAAAAAACTGCCTAGTCCTTGCCGATGACAAGCAGACCCATAACATGATGCAGCCACCACCATGCTTGAAAATATGAAGACTGGAACTACATGATGTGTTATATTTGCCATAAAGGACATAATGTTAATTTCTTTGCCACACTATTTGCAGTTTTACTTTAGTGCCTTATTGCAAACAGGATGCATATTTTTATTTTGAACAGGCTTCCTTCTTTTCACTCTGTCATTGAAGTTAGTATTGTGGAGTAACTACAATGTTGTTGATCCATCCTCAGTTTTCTCCTATCACAGCCATTAAACTCTGTAACTGTTTTAAAGTCACCATTGGCCTCATGAAATCCCTGAGCGGTTTCCTTCCTCTCCGGCAACTGAGTTAGGAAGGATGCCTGTATCTGTGAAATTAATAACTTCACCATGCTCAAAGGGATATTCAATGTCTGCTTTTTACATTTTTGACCCATCTACCAATAGGTGCACTTCTTTGTGAGGCATTGGAAAACTTCCTTGAATCTTTGTGGTTGGATCTGTGCTTGAAATTCACTGCTCGACTGAGGGACCTTACAATTATCTTTATGTGTGGGGTACAGAGATGAGGTAGTCATTAAAAAATTATGTTAAACACTATTATTGCACACAGAGTGAGTCCATGCAACATGTAACTTGTTAAGAATTTGTTGACTCCTGAACTTATTTAGGCTTGCCATAACAAAGGGGTTGAATACTTATTGATTCAAGACATTTAAGCTTTTCATTTTTAATGAATTAGTAAACATTTCTAAAAACATAATTCCACTTTTACATTATGGGGGATTGTGTGTGTGTGTAAATTCAGGCTGTAAAATATATTTCCACTTGTAAATTACAGGGGATTGTGTGTGTAAATTCAGGCTGTAACACAACAAAATGTGGGAAAAAGTCAAGGAGTGTGAATACTTTCTGAAGGCACTATATGTTGTGCAAAGTTGGTAGAATATTATTCAAAATGATTCACAGCTGTAATGGCTGCCAAATGTGCTTCCACCAAGTATTAACTCTAGGGTGTGAAGACATCCATAATCAAGACAACTTCATTCTTTTATTTTGAATTAATTTTGAAAAATGTCTAACTTTCTTTCACTTTGAATATATGGAATAGGTTGTGTACATCTGTAGGAAAAACATATAATGTAATCCCTTTTAATATGACATTTTAAGGCAGCAAAATGTGAAGACTGTGCAAGGGGTGTGTAGACTTTCACTAGAAATGTTAAGATACTGTAGATAATGCCTTGACTGAGATAGAAATCCAAGGAGTATAATTTGTAACAGACAGAGACATGCTTGATGCTTGGGAACATCTGGACTGCCATATCAATGTGTTTATGAGTGTGAGGACTCGCCCTGTGGGTAGGTGGGTGGGAGGGAATGGGTGTTCTGTATGTCTGTCTCTTTAGCAGTTGTTGTCTGAGTTTGTCTAAAACACTTGCTCTCAAAACACTGTCTCCTCTCTCTATCTACCAGCTGAAGTCATATGACATCCGGTCAGAGAGAGGGGGGAAGCCCACAGCTCTGACCCTGTGTGATGTGTTGGCTCTGGGGGACGGTGAGACGACTGGCCTGACTCTCACAGACGCACTGGCTGTTATCAAGGGACACGCCCCCGAGGGACATGATGTATAGTATTACCTTTTCAAGATGTTCAAACCCCTCAGTCTTACTGAGGATTAATATCAGAAGAGATGGGCCTATATTGCTTGCTATGCTCTTGTCAACATTTGACACATGCAAACTTGTAGGCCTACTTTTTTATTTTTGTATTGTTGAAGCTTTTATAACCAACTTTGATATATATATATATTACTAATATAGACTATGTGTTTTGTTTGCTTCTCATCGATAAAATGATTCCCCCACACAATAGTTTCAAAGTGATGCGCCCATCAAAGCTGATCCATCGATAAATTACCAAATCCATTGTGCGGTGTTCGTTCTGAATGCCTGCCAAGTCATGTCCACCAGTGAGGACCTTACAGAGACACTGAGGACACTTCAAGCTGAGATTGCAGATCTGGGTGAGCTCATCCCAAAACTTCAGAGGGCAATTTTGATATCAGTTGATGTTATGTTTAACTGCAGCTCATAGATCTAACTAACTGATTTCTCCCTCTCACACACACACACACACACACACACGACACCGTCCTCTCCAGACATCCCCCAAGTGGTTCTGTTGACCCATGTGGACAAGGTGTGTCATACCGTACAAGAGGATGTGAAGTTTGTCTACTCCAGCCGGATCCTACACGAAAAGGTATGTTAAATAATTTAAATGTTTTAATCAATTTAGATTCACTCTGTAATATGATGAAACAGTATTTTGAAAGTTTTATTTGCAATCTATCTTCTATGTATCATATGTTCTGTTATGCCACAGATGCAGAAGGCAGCAGAGGTGGTGGGTTTGCCAGTTTCCTATGTGCTTCCAGTGAAGAACTATTCCAGTGAGCTGTCTGTGAGCTGCAACACTGACATCCTGCTGCTGAGTGCAGTTAATCACATTCTCCAAGCCGTGGACGACGCGTATGAGGAAAACCACCATCCAACCCCTGCAGACGCATCTGCAGAACCTCCACATCTGCAGAATTCCACCACAAGCCCAGTAACCTTTTAATATTTGATGAGTAACCATTGGTGAGAAATCATGTGCAGTTTTTTTTATTGTGATTGGATAATGAAACAGTTTTTACAGTTTTCAAGTTTGTTTTCTTTTGTTTCTTTTGGGTGTTGATTTTCTTTCCCAATGTTGGAACCTACTTGTTGTATGTTATTAGACTTAAAAATATATATACACTGCTCAAAAAAATAAAGGGAACACTAAAATAACACATCCTAGATCTGAATGAATGAAATAATCTTATTAAATACTTTTTTTCTTTACATAGTTGAATGTGCTGACAACAAAATCACACAACAATTATCAATGGAAATCAAATGTATCAACCCATGGAGGTCTGGATTTGGAGTCACCCTCAAAATTAAAGTGGAAAACCACACTACAGGCTGATCCAACTTTGATGTAATGTCCTTAAAACAAATCAAAATGAGGCTCAGTAGTGTGTGTGGCCTCCACGTGCCTGTATGACCTCCCTACAACGCCTGGGCATGCTCCTGATGAGGTGGGGGATGGTCTCCTGAGGGATCTCCTCCCAGACCTGGACTAAAGCATCCGCCAACTCCTGGACAGTCTGTGGTGCAACGTGGCGTTGGTGGATGGAGCGAGACATGATGTCCCAGATGTGCTCAATTGGATTCAGGTCTGGGGAACGGGCGGGCCAGTCCATAGCATCAATGCCTTCCTCTTGCAGGAACTGCTGACACACTCCAGCCACATGAGGTCTAGCATTGTCTTGCATTAGGAGGAACCCAGGGCCAACCGCACCAGCATATGGTCTCACAAGGGGTCTGAGGATCTCATCTCGGTACCTAATGGCAGTCAGGCTACCTCTGGCGAGCACATGGAGGGCTGTGCGGCCCCCCAAAGAAATGCCACCCCACACCATGACTGACCCACCGCCAAAACGGTCATGCTGGAGGATGTTGCAGGCAGCAGAACGTTCTCCACGGCGTCTCCAGACTCTGTCACGTCTGTCACGTGCTCAGTGTGAACCTGCTTTCATCTGTGAAGAGCACAGGGCGCCAGTGGCGAATTTGCCAATGCCAAACGTCCTGCACGGTGTTGGGCTGTATGCACAACCCCCACCTGTGGACGTTGGGCCCTCAAACCACCCTCATGGAGTCTGTTTCTGACCGTTTGAGCAGACACATGCACATTTGTGGCCTGCTGGAGGTCATTTTGTGGCCTGCTGGAGGCTCTGGCAGTGCTCCTCCTGCTCCTCCTTGCACAAAGGCGGAGGTAGCAGTCCTGTTGCTGGGTTGTTGCCCTCCTACGGCCTCCTCCACGTCTCCTGATGTACTGGCCTGTCTCCTGGTAGCGCCTCCATGCTCTGGACACTACGCTGACAGACACAGCAAACCTTCTTGCCACAGCTCGCATTGATGTGCCATCCTGGATGAGCTGCACTACCTGAGCCACTTGTGTGGGTTGTAGACTCCATCTCATGCTACCACTAGAGTGAAAGCACCGCCAGCATTCAAAAGTGACCAAAACATCAGCCAGGAAGCATAGGAACTGAGAAGTGGTCTGTGGTCACCACCTGCAAAACCAGTCCTTTATTGGGGGTGTCTTGCTAATTGCCTATAATTTCCACCTGTTGTCTATTCCATTTGCACAACAGCATGTGACATTTATTGTCAATCAGTGTTGCTTCCTAAGTGGACAGTTTGATTTCATTGTGTTGTTTAAGTGTTCCCTTTATTTTTTTGAGCAGTGTATATTCAAGTGAGACAAAGTATGAGTTTGTCATCTTCTCATTGGTTTATTGTACAAAAACAATGTCTGTTAGATTTTTATGTTGGCCTATTGTATACTTTGAAACAGTGGCATGTATTCATGGATGCCAGGGGTTCCCTAAAAAATTTACAAAAAACATACACAATTATTTATCTTTCGTCTCTCTGTGTTTCATAATTTTCCTTCAATTCGCAAGAGGCTGAATCTATCTCACCGGAGAAAGCATCCGAGTGAGCGAAACAGCGCCCCTCTGTCTCTGTGTAACCCATCTACAGTGCCTTAGGAAAGTATTCAGACCCCTTGACTTTTCCCACATTATGTTACGTTACAGCCTTATTCTAAAATTGATTAAATCTTTTTTTCTCAGCAATCTACATGCAATACCCCATAACGACAAAGCAAACGTTTTTAGAAATTTTTGCAAATGTATTACAAATAAAAAACATACCTTATTTACATAAGTATTCAGACCCTTTGCTATGAGACTCGAAATTGAGCTCATGTGCATCCTGTTTCCATTGATCATCCTTGAGATGTTTCTACAACTTGATTGGAGTCCACCTGTGGTAAAGTAAATTGATTGGACATGATTTGGAGAGGCACACACCTGTCTATATAAGGTCCCACAGTTGACAATACATGTCAGAGCAATAACCAAGCAATGAGGTCGAAGGAATTGTCCGTAGAGCTCCGAGACAGGATTGTGTCGAGGCACAGATCTGGTGAAGGGTACCAAAAAAGTTCTGCAGCATTGAAGATCCATAAGAACAAACTGGCCTCCATCATTCCTAAATGGAAGAAGTTTGGAACCACCAAGACTCTTCCTAGAGCTGGCCGCCTGGGCAAACTGAGCAATCGGGGGAGAAGGGCCTTGGTCAAGGAGGTGAACAAGATCCCGATGGTCACTCTGACAGAGCTCGAGTTCCTCTATGGAGATGGGAGAACCTTCCAGAAGGTCAACCATCTCTGCAGCACTCCACCAATCAGGCCTTTATGGTAGAGTGGCAGGTTGGAGGCCACTCCTCAGTAAAAGGAACATGACAGCCCGCTTGGAGTTTGTCAAAGAGCACCTAAAGGACTCTCAGACCATGAGAAACGGGATTCTCTGGTCTGATGAAACAAAGATTGAACTCTTTGTCCTGAATGCCAAGCGTCATGTCTCGAGGAAACCTGGCACCATTCCTATGGTGAAGCATGGTGGTGGCAACATCATGCTGTGAATATATTTTTCAGCGGCAGGGACTGGTAGACTAATCAGGATCGAGGGAAAGATGAGCGGTGCAAAGTACAGAGAGATCCTTGATGAAAACCTGCTCCAGAGCACTCAGGACCTCAGACATATCTGCATTACTCATCTCATATGTATATACTGTATTCTATACTATTCTACTGTATCTTAATCCATGCTGCTCTGACATCGCTCGTCCATATACGTATATATTCTTAAATAATTCCTTACTCAAATTTGTGTGTATTGGGAATATGTTGTGAAATTGTATTTGTAATTGTAATTGATATTACTTGTTATATATTACTGCACTGTCGGAGCTAGAAGCACAAGCATTTCGCTACACCCGCAATAACATCTGCTAAACACGTGTATGTGACCAATAACATTTGATTGATTTGATTTGGGGCGAAGGTTCACCTTCCAACAGGACAACGACCCTAAGCACACAGCCAAGACAATGCAGTAGTGGCTTCGGGACAAGTCTCTGAATGTCCTTGAGTGGCCCAGTCAGAGCCCGGACTTGAACCCGATCAAACATCTCTGGAGAGACCTGAAAATAGCTGTGCAGCGACGCTCCCCATCCAACCTGACAGAGCTTGAGAGGATCTGCAGAGAAGAATGGGAGAAACTCCACAAATACAGGTGTGCCAAGCTTGTAGCGTCATACCCAAGAAGACTCAAGGCTGTAATCACTGCCAAAGGTGCTTCAACAAAGTACTGAGTAAAGGGTCTGAATACTTATGTAAATGTAATATTTATTTATTTCTTTATTTTTATAAATTGGCAAGCATTTCTATAAACCTGTTTTTACTTTGTCATTATGGGGTATTGTGTGTAGAATGATGAGGGGGAAAAAAACTATTTAATCAATTTCAGAATAAAGCTGTAACGTAACAAAATGTGGAAAAAGTTAAGGGGTCTGAATACTTTCCGAGTGCACTGTATATTCCATTATGCAATAAATCCCCAGTACACCTGTACAAATCGCACACTATGATGTACTGTATGTGTTCGCAGACATTCAGTTTGTACTTATATTTGTTTAGGGAGCTTTCTTTTATGATAGACACTGTCATTGTTGCAGTTATTGTTTAGTGTTCTCATATGCCAACACTTCTTTTTAGGGCAAGTAAGAGGCAACTCTGACCTCTAATGGCTGAACATATAAAACATTTCTTTCAAGATTTTATGACAAAATAATGCATTTCCGGCCATGGTATGTATTGGAAATAGAAATGTTTGATGAGAGCCATGTGAAAGACATACTGTATATAGATGGAACATTAGGGATGTTATTATGGTCATTGGGGGATACATATAGAAATTCACACACTGGGGTCTTATGATGCCAATGTGAAAGATACATGGGGAGAGAAAAAGAGAGAGCGATGATGGAGGAGGAAAGAGGTAGACCGATAGAGGGAGAAAGGGAGGTGGTTGGAGTGGGAGGGAGTGAGTGAGAGGAGACAGGAAGATGAGAAAGTGAGAGAGAGCATTGAGAGACAGGAGGAAGAGAGGGGGGATGGAGAAAGAGGGAGAGCGAGAGAAGGATGACAGAATAAGAACGTTAGAGCGAGCAACCAGTGGGAGAGAGGAAGGGATGGAAAAAAAGAGGGATGATGAACGAGAGCAGGGTAAAAGAGTTCATCTTGGGAACTACTCCGCATGTGTAGTTCCCGCCGTAAAGCATGAACCCAATTGAGATGGTTTGGGATGAGTCAGACGGCAGAGTGAAGGAAAAGCAGCCAACAAGTGCTCAGCATATGTGGGAACTCCTTCAAGACTGTTGGAAAAGCATTCCAGGTGAAGCTGGTTGAGAGAATGCCAAGAGTGTGCAAAGCTGTCATCCAGGCAAAGGGTGGCTATTTGAAGAATCTCTAATATATATAATATATTTTGATTTGCTTAACACTTTTCTGGTTACTACATGATTCCATATGTGTTATTTCATAGTTTTGATGTCTTCACTATTATTCTACAATGTAAAAAATAGTAAAAATAAAGAAAAAACCCTTGAATATGTAGG